AAGGCTGGTTTTAAAACTTACACAACCTAGGGGAGTGTGGGGGGAAAAAAACCCAAAAAACTGAAACAACCTAAAGCAAAACTATAAGCTAACTAAAATGCAGTACCCATTAGATGTCCAAAGGGATAAAAATAATCCAAGTACAATGGTTTAGAAACATCACATAAGCTGCCTAAGAAAAATGGCACAAAACCAGCTGTTAAAAAAGGCTAGAGTCTTTTTTCAGGTGTAAACAGAACCAAATTTGGGGAAAGCTGCACTCCCAGCTGCATGTTTTCTCCCCTTCCTCTGCCTCTCTCAATTCCTCTACTCCACAGCCCTGTCTCTGCCAGAATGAACCACCACACCACATAGATCTTCCAAGCTTTGGGCCACCTGCACAGCAAGCTGCTGCTGCTTATCTTTGGGAGATGTGCCAGGGAAGGGAGGCCCATGCCCAAACCACATCAAACACAATGCTGGGCCAATGGTCTATACTGTGTAGTATGTGGCATGACTGTAGGTGAACACTACTGGCCATTTTATATGCATTAAACCCACCTCCTTTTATTAGTATTATTACTATTAATAGATGAAGAAACAGAGAGGGGAAGTAACATCTAAAATCACATAGATAGTAAGTGACAAAGGTCTGGACAAGTCCAGAGGTGAATGACTCCTGAGTCCATACTCATAACAGTAGGCCACACTAGCTTTTAAAAACCTTAGCTGTTTTCATGTTTTACCCAAATATACATTTTTTACCACACAGATAATACACAAACTGGTTAATCTGCCTCAAAGAATCAATAGTTGATTATGTATTTCCTAGCCTTAAAAATATCTGAAGATGGTTTCACCTGGTGTTCCTTAAATCTTCTCTCAACAGCCATAGTACCTTCATAATTTCCTCATAAGACACTGGGCTTTTTAGTTTTCTCATTATCCTAGTCTCACTCTACTAAAGGAACTTATTTGTCCATGTCTTTAAGTACAGCACTAAGAACTGAACATAATGTATGCACCATACACTAACTGGCAAAGAAAAGAGTGGGATTATCATCCCACTTCATTCTAAACAACAAACATCTATTAATGGAGTCTTTTGTTTATAGCCACATAACCCTGATGACTCATATTTAGCTTGAAATCAACTAAAATCTTGATAACCTGTCACATGCACTGAGAAGCCATTCCTCATCATCCCACACTTGCTTAACAGTGAATTTAGTAATTCAGTAAAAGGAATGAAAAATGGGGTCCCTGGCTGGCTCCATCAGAAGAGCATGCAACTTGATCTTGGGGTTGTGAGTTCCAGCTCCATGTTGGGTGTAGCTATTAGTAAAATAAATAAGCTTAAAAAAAAAAAAGGGAATGAAAACTAAATGAATTAATAGCACAAAAAAATAGACAGCCAGGAGACCTACTATGGAACAAGTTGTTTTTAAGCATTTCCATAGCAATCTTAGGGCGCTAATTATTATGAATCTGTTATCATTAAAAGGATCTAGATCTGTAAGACAAGACTAGGTATCATGTTAGGTAGAAAATCTGCTAGATCTTTTATCTAACATAAAAAATACATGCACACCTGACAACATTAAATGCAAACAGCTTACTGTCATGATCAGGATACTCTAGAGAGTGAAAGAGGGGATACTAATAATAACTGCACGGGGAAACATGTAAACTGGGACTGTTCAGGCAAACCTGGGGGGATGGCCACCCAATATTAGATGCAACCATGTAAACCATCTGCTTTAAATAAGGAAAAAAAAGGGCTTGAAATTTTCTATCCAGCAAAGGATGATAAAGAAAAACTGTGGCACACCCACCGCTGCTTATTTAGTATGCTGTCTTTATTCTACTTCAGGGATCAAAGGGCTTGCAGAGGTTTCCCTGAACCTCAGTGTTTAAGATTTGTTTATTTGACAGAGAGAGAGACAGCGAGAGAGGGAACAAAAGCAGGGGGAGTGGGAGAGGGAGAAGCAGGCTTCCTGCCAAGCAGGGAGCCCAATGCGGGGCCCGATCCCAGGATCCTGGGATCATGACCTGAGCGGAAGGCAGATGCTTAATGACTGAGCCACCCAGGCACCCCTACAAAGCATTTTAATAAATCCTAAGCTATTTCCTTTGTCTCATAAATACTCTATGGGTTGTGAGGCATTATTACCCACATTTTACAAACAAGAAAGCTAAGGCCAAACAACTTTCAAGAGACCCTTAGGACTAGACCCCAGGTCTGGAGCTCTAGTCTAGTTATTACATAAAACCACATGGTTCATCACTTAAATGCATTTTTCCTATAGTCTGCCTTTCTTCAGTGACATAGATTGCTGAGATTTTATCTTGATAGTGGCTCCCATTTTCAGTAAAACCAATTATAAGTCCAAAACAGAAAAAATAGGTAATTATCTACATTACAAAGGACTCCGTGTTAAAGAAAAAAGATCACAGATTTCAATTAAAAGTATGCAAAAGTGTGCATTCAATTTTTCTTTCAATAAAAGTACAACTCACAAAAAAATGTGATTTATCTACAATTTTCCAGAAACAGGTTCATTTTATAAAGTTAAATATACAAATAAATGACAACCATTTCTGTATTATGTCACAGGATTTATAAAAAATGCCTGCAAGGACGGGAAGAATGAAGGGGGGGAAATTGGAAGGGGAGATGAACCATGAGAGACAATGGACTCTGAAAAACAAACTGAGGGTTCTAGAGGGGAGGGGGGGGGAGGATGGGTTAGCCTGGTGATGGGTATTAAAGAGGGCACATTCTGCGTGGAGCCTTGTGTGTTATGCACAAACAATGAATCATGGAACACTACATCAAAAACTAATGATGTAATGTATGGTGATTAACATAACATAAAAAAAAAGAGTATATGGGACTAAAAAAAAAAAAAGGCCTGCAAAACAGGCAACTTTAGGGATAAGGAATCTAAACTCAAAAGATGAAGTGACCTATACAAAGTCTCACTGATCATAAGTGACAGAGCTGGAATGGAAACCTACTGGAGTTTTCTTACCATTCAAAGGCCTGAACTCAAGCCTGGTTCCGCTATTAATTGTGTAGTCATTTCTTGAGAAAGTAAGATATTACTTGCCCCTATCTAACTTTAGAATTTTGGATATAAAAGCATGCCTGTTTCCAGTCAATACCTTGTTAAAACAAAATGTAGGTAAGTCAGAACAAAGGTAAGTAAGAAAAAGAGCAAAGGGCGCCTGGGTGGCTCAGTCGTTAAGTGTCTGCCTTCGGCTCGGGTCACGATCCCAGGGTCCTGGGATCGAGTCCCGCATCGGGCTCCTTGCTCGACAGGGAGCCTGCTTCTCCCTCTCCCACTCCCCCTGCTTGTGTTCCCGCTCTCACTGTCTCTCTCTCTCTGTCAAATAAATAAATAAAATCTTAAAAAAAAAAAGAACTAGAAATACCTTAGGGTCAAATAACATGTACAGACTGAGAAGATGAGAAGGAACCAGCAACAGACTGAGAAGGCACAGTCTGCTAGGGAAGATAATCAATAGAGTGGGGTCCCAGAAGTGAAATGAAAAAAAAAAAAAGGGTTTAAGGACAGAAATGAATGACTGCAAAAAAGGACTATAAATCCTTTGCAGTGACTCCCACCAAGAGTGGAGTCTATTGCACGCCACTTGAATCTGGGCTTGGCTATGTGAGTTGCATCCTCAGTAGGACTTTGGCAACCATGATGCAAACACTTTCACCATCATGTGAATGAGCACGCTGGAGATGAAATACACATGACGGGACCTAGTGGCTCAGTCAGTTAAGCGTCTGCCTTCAGCTCAGGTCATGATCTCAGGGTCCTGGGATTGAGCCCCACATCGGGCTCCCCGCTCAGTGGGGAGCCTGCTTCTCTCTCTCTGCCTCTGCCTGCCACTCTCCGTTTGTACTCTCTCTCTCTGTGTCAAATAAATAAAAAATCTTAAAAAAAAAAAAACTACACACGTGGCCACTGCCCCAGCTGATAGCAAGCCAACTACTAGATACATGAGTGAGGCTATTCTAGCCAGGAAGACCAGCCAGATCAGCCCCAAATAGAACTGCCCCAAAGAAAAATAAGCAAATAAAATGGTTCTTGTTCTAAGCCACTAAATTTTGGAGTGATTTGTTATGAAGCAAAAGCTAACTGATAAAGACAGTGATGACAAAACTAAAGCTATTTTCAATGGAGTAGCAGGTATGAAAATCTGATTAGAGTTGGGTTAAGAATGAATGGACAGGGACGCCTGGGTGGCTCAGTCATTAAGCGTCTGCCTTCCGCTCGGGTCATGGTCCCAGGGTCCATGACCACATTGGGCTCCCTGCTTGGCGGGAAGCCTGTTTCTCCTCCCCCATTCTCCCTGCTTGTGTTCCCTCTCTTGCTGTGTCTCTGTCAAACAATTAAATAAAATCTTAAAAAACAAAAACAAAAAAATGAATGAATGGACAGAGTGGAATGCAAGGCTTCTGGCTGATACCAACTGAGCTCTGGAGGCTTCCCTTTCTAACAAGACCATTTCTTCAACCAGGAAACTACACCATTACACTGCTTACCAGGTGTTCCTTACACTTTTCCAATGCCCCCTACAGACAGACATGGTGGCACAATGGCAAAATCTTTCTACCAAAGCAATTAATGGGATGCATAACCAACCCAGCATACCGCCTCAGAAGATGTGGAGACAATGGAGGGATGAGGAAACTACATATTCTGTTGCTTCATGGCCAATAAGTTTTGCCAATAAATCTGACTTTATATTTACACCTATCACTACAGAGGGGGCTGTGTGTGTGCCTGCAGAGGGATCTATATGCGTATGCAGAAATACCCATGAGCACACATAACTCCTTAGAGCGCACCTAACCATCTCTTGACAAGTCTTGATTTGCTCATTACTTCTCATTTTCCAGGTACATTTTCTATCTGAAAAAGAATTGTTATTACATTTTAAAGCACTTATAAAATGTTCAAAAAACAGCTTTTTAAGATGTCAAAAATATAGAAATAACTTACTTGGCAATCCGCAGCTTCCCAACTTCACCTCTTCCAGGGGCTTTAGCCCATTGCTGTGACAAATATTTAGGAACCTAAAAAAATAAATAAAACACTAGTAAGACTATGTTTTAGATGCTAACTTCCTGAACATAAAATCATATACTGCTTCTATTTTACTTTCTGCCTATAGTAACTAATCATTAAGTATCACGCTCCCATTATACATTTTGCACTATAAGGGATACAAGAAAACATTTTAAATTTCAAAGAACTAGGGGCGCTTGGGTGGCTTAGTCGCTGAGCATCTGCCTTCGGCTCAAGTCATGATCTCAGGGTCCTGCAATCGAGCCCCGCATCGGGCTCCCTGTTCAGCGGGAAGCCTGCTTCTCCCTCTCCCATTCCCCCTGCTTGTGTTCCCTCTCTTGCTGTGTCTCTCTCTGTCAAATAAATAAATAAAATCTTTACAAAATAAATAAATAAATAAATAAATTTCAAAGAGCTTAAAGTCAATCAAGCTGGTGACACAATAACTAACACGTGTCAAATATCTTAACAAAACAAAGTGTTATGTTCCCAAATAAGTCCAATGAAAGTTCAGACATCAGAAAGGCTACCAGAAAAGTTTTCTCAGGAGTATAATATTCTAACATATTATTTAGAGATACCACCAAGTTTAAGATGATTTCAAAAGTTAAATTTTATTGTAAGATAACTCTGACCAATGATAAAGGGTCTGCTGAAATAAATGATTAAATATCACAGCTAACATTTATATAATACTACTTTCCTGACACTGTTATAAGCAGTTTCCATATATTTACACATTTAATCCTCACGTCTCTATGAGGTAGGTACTGTTAATTACCCTCATTTTACAAATTATGAATCTGGGATACCCGGGGATTATATAATTTAGCCAAGATTATAAATTTGTAAATGATGGAGCCAGGATTCAAACCCAGTCAGTGTGGGTAACTAGATACATATAGTCAGAAGGGTTTTAATTCCCAAAAGAGAATATATGCTGAATCACTACTATTTCTTCTAAGAGGCAGTATGAACTGTGGAATCAGCACACACCTTCAAGGTTAGCCTATTGTGAGGAATGAGATACCACAGATAAAGCATGAAGCATAATACCTCACATAAGGCAAGTACTCAATGAATGTCAGGTGTCACTACTATTTCCCTCAGCAATCTTGGAATAACATGAACATGAGTGTAGAACTGAGAGCTTCCAAAGCTGTAAAGAAAAAAAACATTCTATTTACCAAGATTTCATTTGCAAAAAAGAACCACTTGATTATCAAGTGGCATTGCTTTGTTTAGCTATAGTAAAAATTCACGAACTAAAGGTTTAAAAAAATTCTAATGGTATTTCTTCAATTACATATGCATTCTTTACACCAAAATTATTGAACACTAGTCATATTCCCTAATAAAGCCCATAGGAGAAAGATGGTGTCTTTTCTTCATCACATTCCAAGTTACTGGTTCAAATGAGTCCTTTACATATATAGACCCATTAAGACTTTCTCCCTTTCAGTAAGGGTATCCCTTCCATAATTTTGTATTTCAAGCAATCACACTAACCACTAACTTCCTGGCTCTCTCCTCAGTACTTCAACAGTTTTTTCCACCCCTTCAAATCACTGACTCTTAACATCTCTGCCCTTTTCCCAAGCTGTGTATGTCCTGTCTTCACAATCATTCCCTTGCCCCTACCTCCTTCATCATGCTGGCCTGGCAGAACCTTAATCCCGATTAAAGCCCATCTCTACTGCTACTTAATTAATTAGTTTGATTTCATTTTGTTACTTCTCCACACTGGACCTGAGCAGCTGGAGAAAAATTCACAGGGATGCTAACTAGTCTCACTTGAAATATATGGCTACCAACATCAAGTAAGCCCTTCACAAGATGCTTGGCAATTGAACTCCATCTCCCTGGTCAATTCATTCCCCCGCTACAGCTGAGTCACAAGTTCTCTTCACTTCTCAAGCCAACAGCACCTCTCCCTCCCTTCTCCTTCGGTGGTGCTACCCTGACTTCTCTTCAAACTAGGGAAAGGATCAAAAGAGAACCTCTACAGCTACCATGCAGCCACAGCTAAGGCCTTTCACTCTGACTTCCTCTTTGAACAATGGTCAATCTCTCCACTGTGCACTTAATTTCTTCCCCTGTAGTCTAATCAAGGACATCTTTCCTTCAATTCTACCATTTTTCTCCTCTCTCCTCTCTACTTAGTCATCCCCCCATCAGAATGATGACCATGATGATAACTGCTAACACTAGAGTGCTTACTACATGTGGCAGAACACTTTTAAGATGGCCCCCAATGATTCTCACCTCCTGATATTCACACCCTTGTGTAATCGCCTCTCCTTGAGTGAGAAGGGGATCTGTGACTTGCTTCTCATCAATACAACATGGCAAAGGTGATGGGATGTTACTCCCCTTCCCTTTTGGCTAGGATTCTTTTATTTATTTATATTTTTTGGCTATAAAATTTGTCCAGGTCTTTTTTTTTAAGTGGGTTCCACACCCAACATAGGGCTTGAACTCACAACCCTGAGATCAAGAGTCAACTGCTCTACCGACTGAGCCAGCCAGGCACCCATTTTCTTTCTCTTTTTTTTAAGTTTTTATTTTCATTACCCAGTGCTCATCACAAGTGCACTCCTTAATCCCCATCACCTATTTCACTTATCCCCCCATTCACCTCCCCTCTGGAAACCATGAGTTTGTTCTCTGTAGTTAAGAGTCTGTTTCTTGGTTTATCTCTCTTCCCCCACCTGTGCTCATTTGTTTTGTTTTTTAAATTCCACATATGACTCATATTGTGTGGTATTCGTCTTTCTCTGACATATTTCACTTAGCATAACACCCTCTAGCTCTATCCATGTCGTTGCAAATGGCAAGACTTCATTCTTTTTTGTGGCTGAATAACATTCCACTGCGTGTGTGCCCACATGTGCGCATGTGTGTACCTCATCTTCTTTATCCATTCATCAATCAGTAGGCACTTGGGCTGCTTCCATATCTTAGTTATTATAAATAACGCTACTATAAACATAGGGGTGCATATACCCCTCTGAATTAGTGTTTTTGCATTGTTTGGGTAAATACCAGTAGTGTGATTGCTGGCTCATCAGGTAGTTCTATTTTTAACTTTTTGAGGAACCTCCATGCTGTTTTCCAAGTGGCTGCCCGGTTTGCATTACCACCAACAGCGTAAGAGAGTTCCTTTTTCTCCATATGGGATGTTACTTCCGTGATTAGGTTACATAAGATGGTGACTTCTATCTTGCTTCTCTCGTTTTTTCAGTCTGCTCACTTTGATGAAGTAAGCTGCCATGTTGGGGAGGCCCAGGTGGCAAGAAACTAAGGACAGGCTCCGGTTAGCAGGCAGGTAGGAAACCTAGGCCCTGGGTCCAATAACCCCGAGGAACTGAATTCTGCCAACCACACATGCTTGGAAACAATCTTCCCTGGTCATGACTTCAGATGAGAATTCAGCCCTGGCTGACATCTTGATTGTAACCTGTGAAAGGCTCTGAAGCAGGAGACCCAATTAAGCCATGCCAGGGCTCCTGATCCACAGAAACCATGAAATAATAAATGTATGTTGTTTTAAGCTTCTAAGTCTGTGGTAATATAGCAACAGATAACTGATACATTAAATGACAAGCACTCTTCTAAATGTTTTAAATATATTAACCACTTAATCTTCACATAATCCTGTTATTTCCTCCATTTTGCAAATGAGGAAACTGAGGCATGGGGAAATTAGCAAATTTGCTCAAGATCACACACCTAGTAAGAGCAGAGTCTATAATTCTCCACACACTGTCCCATTTTCCACCTCTCTTTTCAGCATAGCTTTTTGAAAGAGTTGTCCCTGCTGGCTGACTAATTCCTCCTCTGCCATATTTTTTTTCTTTTTACTCTAGACAGGACTTCCTCTCTACCACTGCACGGAAAGTGACGACCCTAGTTACCAAATATCTCCACATTGCCAAGTCAATGTATAGTCCTCATCTTTAATACCTATCAACAATATTTGAGAACTGTTTCCTCCTTCTTCAAACACTTTCTTCACTTGGCTTTAAGTCACCACAATCTCTCTTGATTTTCCTCATACTTCTCTGGACTCTCCTTTTTGGTCCCCACACATCTAGATTCTTGTCTTCCCAGCCTCTCACCTGTAGTGTTCTGGTTTCAGTCCTCAGACCTCTTCTCTTCTCTACCTGCAATCAATCTTATGTAATCTCATCCAGGCTCAAGACTTTAAATACCATCTGTATAATAACAATTCCCAAATTTAGAGCAAGTCCAGGCTCTCCCCTCAAGTTCCAACTTATATATCCAATTGCCTACTCAAGCTCTCCATCTGAAAATTCCGTAGACATTTCAAACTTAAAATATCCATACCAGAACTCTTAATTTCTCCCTCATAACGTGCTCCTCCTGCAATTTTCCATACCTCAGTAAAAGTCAACTCCATTCTTCCAGGTACTCAGTCTGAAACTTTGTGCAGTTACCCTGAATAGCTACTTTTATCTCACATTCCACATCCAACCGACTGATATATCCTGTGAGCAACATCTTCAAATTATATCAGGACTCCAGCCCCTTCTCACCAATTCCAAAGTTACCATCCTAGTCCAAGCCACCATCATCCTTTTATAATTCTGATAGCCTTTGGATTTCTTAACTTCCACTCTTGTCCATGTCTAGTTGATTCTTAATATAGCAGCCAGAGTCATCATCTTAAAACATAAGTCAAATAATCCTATTCTGCTCAAAGCCTATTTAATAGACATCTACATAGTGCTTACTACAAGCCAGGTACTTTTCTAATCACTTTACAAAAGTTACTTCACTTAATCCTCATAAAAACTCTATTACTGGGACATCTGGGTGGCTCAGTTGGTTAAGTGTCTGCCTTCAGCTCAGGTCGTGATTCCATGGTCCTGGGATCGAGTCCCGCATCAGGCTCTCTGCTCAGCAGGGAGTCGGCTTCTCCCTGTTTGCTGCTCTGCTGTCTCTCTCTCTCTGACAAATAAATAAAATCTTAAAAAAAAAACCT